ATATTTATGCCCATTCCAAAGAGAGGTGACCCAATAGAATGTGGAAATCATCGGACAAGCTCTTTGATATCTCAAGTGAGAAATGTTTTCTTATCAGTAGTATTTTTCATTACATGAGAAAACATGCTTTTCTGTCTCTGAGGGAAGCAGGCAACAAGCAGGGTGGAAATGGGTGTGGGAGGACGTAGTATATATATTACTATATATGTTTTTTGCTTTTTAAAGAACCCAAATGATTGTAATATACCTGCCCCTTTATCATCAGAGATTCTAACACAATTGGAGTGAGTTGGAGTCCCAGATTTTTAATTTTATAAAGCACCCCAGGTAATACTGATGCATGCTTTCATTGGACCATTTTTTTGGAAATTATGGCACACTTTGTTGTTGTTAAGTTCCATCGAGTCAGTTACGATTTCCAAAGAGTAGCTGATGAATTTGAACAGCCAACCTTGCAGTTCAGACTGACCTTGTGATTCAGTGCATTATCCCACAGTGCCACACCAGGACTCCTTAGGAAGATTAAAGTAACATTTGATGTTCTCTTTGTGTACTGATCTGAAATAAGTTTCAGTGTTTACTTCTGTATATTCTGGGGATGATGTATGTTTAAATTTCTAATAGGTGCAGCGAGTAAGGATGCAACAAAGATTATCATTGAAGATGTAAGTTTTATTATTCATATTTTTCTTGATATCACTTGAATTTATTTTCTCTTTGTATGTTGTCTTTTAATACATATCTGAATGTATTTAAGTTTGCAGCGTAGTCTTCAAAAAAGTGGAGTATGTATTATGCACTACTTGTGTTTTTGAACTGAGATTCTTAATTAAAAAAATCTAGGTTTTTAAACCTTGATCAATATTAGATCATTAATAAAAGTGTATTTCCTGATTTATTTTATTGCTTGTCTTCTTATTTCTTAATTTCTTTATATACTTGTTAATTTCATCCAATTTCTTATTTTTTTCTTACTATGTTGAAGAATTTTCCTTTTATTGACTAAAAAGTCTTTTGAAAGTTTAATGTGTTTTTTTATGCAACTTTGAGTTATGTGAAACTTAAAATAGTGCAAAGTAAAAATATATTTAAACTCCCACTTTATGCCTCACATTTGTAATACTTTGAAACTTTCCCAAATTAAATATTTTTTGTTTTAAGAAATACATAATTTCAAAGTTGACAGCCTGAAAGGATTGCAGAGTATCCTGTTAACCCGTGTCAGCATTACTCTGGCAGGAAAACAAAATTCCTGTCACTTATTTGTTTTTTTTTATTATCAGTATCACATGAACTGTATGTGTCAGATATTGATTAATGTTTTTTTCTTAATTTCACATTTGCTCTTGATATGATTAAAAATCTTTTTTTATATTACAGTGTCATTCAAGCGTTCGTTAAGCGGTAGTAGTGCTAAAAAGTATGCCTGAAATTCAGTAATTTTGAAACAGAAGCTAGATGTGATAGATAAAACTCTACAAAGCAAGCCAGACCACTGCTGTGCTATTCCATGAAGTTAATTTAGGAGAGTGTACTCTGCAGATTAGAGAAAATGCTCAAACTATCAAAACTAGCATTAAAGCAGGTGTATCCTGGTGTGGCGCTGTACTATAAACACTGGACAGCTAACTGTTGCTAACCAAAAGGTTGGCACTTCAAGCTCATAAGTCTCAGAAGCCATACAGGGATGAATCAGAACTAACTCGATGTCGCATATATATAGTTGTTGTTAAATGCCGTCGAGTAGGTTCTGATCCATAGCGACCCTGTATAGGGTTTCTGAGGAGCGGCTGGTGAGCTTGAACCACTGACACTGCAGTTCAAACTGACTTTGCAGTCTAGTGCATTAACCTTCAGCGCCATACTAGGATTCTCTGTCTGTCTGTGTGTCTGTCTGTCTGTCTCTCTCTCTATATTTGTACCTGGAGTCCTGGTGTGGCACTGTGGACTAATGTGTCAGATTATAAAGTTGTTTGACCCTATACAGGGTCGCTATGGGTTGGAATTGACTTAACAACAACAGGACAAGGATAATAAAATATTGGACAAAATCCTGGCAACATGGCTGTATAAAATCAGTGTTGCCATAATGTCCCTAGGACCAAGTTATCATCAATGCTAAGGCAGGAAGTATTTTTGGTGATTTGAAAGGAGGTGACAGTTGAAAAAAAATTTTTTTTTTACTACAAGTCATTGCTGGCTTTCCAGTTTTAAAGCCCACTAAGAGTCCTGGTGTGGTGCTATAGAATAACCATTTGTTCAAATCCACCAGCCACTCTTAGGAAACCCTATACAGGGTAGCTGTAAGTTGGAACTGACATGATGGCACTTAATAACAACAAGGTTGTAAGAATGTAGAAATGAGCATGCAAGCTTTATCTGCTAGCTCTGAAGTTGTCAATACATTTCAGCTTTTCCATAAGGAAGAGGCTATAAATTGAAAGACATCTGCTAATAAGGAATCTGTGAAAGTGGCATATGAAGTACATTTGCACAAGGTTTATGTTGGGGATGTTGAAAATTAGAGTTGTCAACCCTGAGTTAACAAAGGAAGACTTTCTAGAATTAGAAAAACACAGCAGGAAGATGACTCTACCCATTAATTAGCCTGAGCCTTCAGTACATCGACTAAAAGGAAATTGACCAGCACAGGCTTTTATCCATATTTCAGCAGCAATTATTATTTTTGATCCAAATGTGGATCCCTGTCCCATGGTGGCAAGGTAGAAAAAAGATGGGAAGTATGTCTACATATCAAGGAATCTTCAGTGGGGAAAAAAAGAAATACTTCTAATTATATTGGACTCATTATTTAGCAAAAATCTTCCAGGGAATCAGACCAGCTCTCACTGTAATGTGTAATGATAGCTTGTCCTAATTTGTTTAGCACCTCTTAACTTCCCATTCTTTGTGTTCTTCGAAAATGATGATTACTTGTATTGCATTATTTTTACCTTAGTTAATGAAATATTACGTTAACTTGGTATTTAGTGTTATACATTAAAATTCTGTTTTAAAATAGCATGATTAATAAGTCACTATTGTATAAGTAAGTTTATTATTAGCCATACAATTATGTAATTTATTAAAGTATTACTGTATTATCTCATAATAAGTATCATTAGTACATATTGTTAAATATTCTATATTGACTGTACATTTCAATACTTTGGGAATGTATCCTCCTCCTCCCTCTATTGAACCTTTTTATGAATGAGCTAATTAGTCTTGAATTATGCCAGTTTTTAATTACTCAGGGTTTTCAAGGAACATAGCCCTCATATTAAATGTGACTGCAATATATATATATATATCCATGCAGGGAATGGAAAATTTACCAGTCATAACTATTTTACAAAACAGTTGGTTAATACTTTCATTTCAGCCTTTAAAAAGTATGTTTTTGTTGTTAGGTGCTATCGAGTTGGTTCCAACTCAAAGTGACCATATACATAATAGAGTGAGACTCTGCCCAGTCCTGCACTGTCCTCACAGTTGTTATTTTGAGCCAATTGCTGTTGCCACTGTGTCAGTCCAGCTTGTTGGGTGTCTTCCTCTTTTTTTGCTGACCCTCCAGTTTACCAAGCATGATGTCATCCAAGGACTGGTCCCTCCTGATAATATGCCCAACGTATGAGAGATCAAGTCTAGCCATCTTGGATTATAAGGAGCGTTCTGGTTGTACTTCTTCCAACACAGATTTGTTTGTTCTTCTGGCCATCCATGGAATTTTAATATTTTTCTCCAATACCATAATTGAAATGTATTGATTCTTCTATGGTTTTATTATGCATTGTCCAGCATTCACATGCATATGAGGCAATTTTTTTATTTATCTATCTTAACAGACAAGATCATCAGCATTACTTTCAACAATCATACGTTTTGTTTCATTTAAATGATGACAATCACCTCCCTGCAACAACAGTTATCCTGCTTCCTCCCTGTGGCTTTCCTTTTATATCTTATATTTCACAAGTGAACAAAGCAAAAATGTTTGATGTACACATCCAAAACAAAAAATATACATTCATTTAAATGACCAAAGGGTACCTTTTGTAAGCTAGCCTCCTGCCTGCAGGGATACAGCCTTTCTCAGTCCATGAGTCTAGAGCTCTATCTCTGTGCCATTGCTTCTGCCACTGTCTCTGCTGTTGCCGCTTTTCTAGGTAGAATCTCACACACCACTCATGCTCTTCTTTCTTGATGGTCGTGGATCCTCAGTTCCTGAAATGAAAGATTAACTACTCCCCACTTTTAGTTCTACATCTTCTACAATTACAGTTTGTGATAATTTCAATTAATTCTGTTGACAGTTATTCACAATTGAATTATAAAATCCTATCACCATAATCTCCCATTCCCTTTCACCAGTCCATCTGGGAAAGAGGAAAACTATTTAGTGGGAATTCTACGAAACACACCTCCCCCAATTCTGAAACTAAGCACTCACAAAAGCTTGCAAGCCAGCCACTTCATGCCTTTATAGCCCCCCATTTTTGATAGCCAATGTCTAAATTGCACATTACTAATGGGAAGAATCCTTCCATTTTGATTGGAATTTTGAGCAGTTGTATCCATAAGCAAAACCACTTCATCAAATTGTAGCAATTTATACTTGCTCACAGTATCAAGCATCTTCTTAATCTGGTCAAGTTCTGGTCAGCTAGCCTTCCAAGTTAGGTCAGTGGGTACTAGCTGCAAGTTTGGGAGTTCACACATACATCCCTGCACTTCAGACCAGTTGGACACTTCACTTTCAGCTCTAGCCCATGGTAGGTCATTGCCCATGGACTTGGGAATTCTAAACTTCAGACCAGCCAGCCCTTCCTCTTTTCTCTCTCTCATCTCAGGGTCAATAGGTGTCAATGGAACATGGCCAAACTCAGCCCTTGTCTTCATTGCTACATTTCCTGTAGACTACGGTAGTTTTCAGTGCACAAACTAGACTGCTCATGGGTTCCCTTTGAGTTTGAGTTTGTCTTGCTAAGTTTTTTCTTTTTTTTTTTTGCTAAGTACCATGGAGTCGGTTCCGATTCATAGTGACCCTGCACAGGGTTTCTGAGGCTGTAAATCTTTATGGGAGTAGAAGGCCTCATCTGTCTCCTGCGGAGCCACTGGTAGTTTCGAACTGCTAACCTTGAGGTTGGCAGCCCGACTTGTAACCACTACTCTACCAAAATCTTGGTGGTGGTGGCTGTGTGCCATGGAGTCAGTTCTGACTTATAGCGACCCTGTACAGGTTTTCTGAGGCTGTAAATCTTTACGGGAGCAGAATGCCTCATCTTTCTCCCGTGCAACAGCTGGTAGTTTTGAACTGCTGCCCTTGAGGTCCGCAGCCCGATTCGTAACCAATATGCTACCAGAGTCTTAGAAAGGGGTTTATCCTGATGGGCTGACTTGGCAATTTTAAATACAATGGCTTAGTTTGGCACACATTAGTCCTTAACCTGTTATCTTTGCTGTTTAACACTTTAAAGAGGTCATTTGCCTAATGCATATGTTCTTTGAATCCTTGACTGCTGCTTCCATGAATGTTGATTGTGGATTCAAGCAAAATGAAGTCTTTGACAATTTCAATCTCTACTCTGATTATAATGATGTTATTTAATGATCCAGTTGTGAGAATTTTTTTCTTCTTTACATTGAGGTACAATATATACTG